CTTCAATCCAGCACTCAGGTGGCAGAGACAGGCATACCTCTGTGAATTTGAGGCTAGCCTGGTCTTCAGAGCTAGTTCTAGGACAGCTAGGGTTGTTACACAGATAAACCCTGCCTTGAAAAACTATAAATAAATAAATAAATAAATAAATAAATAAATAAATAGTAATAGAATCAGGGCCACTGAGATGGCTCAGTGGGTAAAGGTGATTGCTATAGAAGCCTAGTGTGCTGGATTTGACCCCTAGAACTCATGTTCTGGGGTGGAAGGAGAGAAACATGCACACAAACATTATGGCATGCACACACGCAAACACATACAACAACAAAATTGTTGTTGATATTGTTAGGGAGCGCTTCCTCGATAACGAGTTGTGTTAGAGCAATTGAATATTAAGTGAAGAGTTGTTGCATTAAGCTGCCAATGTATTCCTCCTAGGACTGCTGTTTTAGCATAGCAGGGTCAAACCCCAAAGATCTGTACTTGCTCTCATCTCATCCTTTCAAGAGCTTGTCTATAAGTCTGCATAGTGAACTGGGGACAACAGGCATTAAAATCCTGAGGGGTTAGAGAAGTTTCTCAGGAAGAAGTGGGTAGTGAGCCTCACAGAGCAGATATTGCTGGAGCTAGGCCTTACATGGTAGGATGGTATTAGGGATGTTCCAGATCATGTGAAGGCAGGAATGTCTGTTCACATAATGGTGAGATTTGTCAGTGTACTGCTATAGAGCAAGGACTCACCAGGACAGTGTGCCTGTTCCATTAGAATTCACTAAAGACTCACATTAGGAGGACTCAAAAGGTTAATGAGCTAACAAGTTTTTACTTTATTTGAGACTGGGAATCTTTAATTCCCTTGACTCTTCAGCCTGCTGTAACAGGGACTTTCTGTTCATTCCATTATCACTCCACTAAAGCTGTGATTGTGAATGTTACCAGCACCCTTCAGTTGCTAAAGGCTTTTCAGCCATCATTTTATATAGTTCAGAAATGACGGCTTTCATCCTGTTTAATGCCTTTTCTTTCACTGTTCTCATCTGTGGTTTCTCTGGTTCTGCCTCTCTCTGCAATTGTCTGTCAATCTGCTCAACAGACTTACTTCAGCACTGCCCACCTTAAAGACTTTTGGAGCTCTGAATACCAGTGTTATCAGTTCTTTCTCATTATTCTGCTTGCTCTCCGGAAAACCTTACATATGTCCTAGGTATCCACCCAGATGACTTTTATATCTTAAGTTCCCAGTCTGTATATTATCTGTCTATTAAAAGTGGTCTCCATTTAGACATCTTCCCAGCATCTCAAATTGCATATGTCTAAAAAAATGAATCTGGGTTAATGAAATGTCTCATCAGGTAATTCACTGCTCAGCCTAATAGCACATGCACACTAAATATAATTTTAAAAAATTAAGGCAGTCTGTCTTTACTCTAACCTATTACCCCTCTTAGACTTTTCTCTCTTTGTGGAAATATTATTAGCCACCTCGTTACTTAAACGAGAGACCTGTGAGGAGTCTTTTTCTTCTTTGTGCATCATTGAAAATGAACTGTGAGTCAGTTCAGTTCTACCATATAGTTTCTCATATGTCTCTGTGTTTATTTGTTGTCAAGTTACTTAGTCATCATCTCATATATGGGCCATGTGATCTTGCTGCTAACATTGGCTGTTCCCATTTACCACAGTTCTGCCCAGCAAATCTATTCATGTCATCCTGATCCCCTCCTCAAAGATTGTTGTGAGAAGGAATAACTCCTGGATTAACTGTTCATTAAATACTCAACCACATGTCCCAGGTATCCCAGGAGTAGCTGTCTCGTTGCAATCCTACTTCAACATTTCAGATGATTATTTTTTTTTCTGAATACTATTTCCATACTAGGGTTCTGTTTCTTACTGGGAAACTTACTGATACTACATGCCTTCTGTTGTTCTGTTTGTGTGTATGTATTTTATGGATCAATTAAAGGGAACAACATGGACTGTCTACTTCAGAAAGACTAATATAATAGAATACTTGAATAGAGTGTTCAGTCAGTATACTTAATTATCTTCACTGATAAATTTTTTATATGTGTTATTATTGTTGCTTTCTCTTTTTAAAATTGTCTTCTAAGTTTTACATTTAACTACACGAAGACTTACTTTTTTCCTAGTAACCTTGTTAGTTTACTAACTTAAAGGCTTTAGTTTTTTATTTTTACTTAACAAGTCTGTTTTTTCATAGGTGATGAATTCTTGCAATGTGCATGATAGCAGTAATAGCTCTTCGTGGGAATGTTAGCAAGGATGTGCTAAATACCATCACACAATCTTACATTCTTCTGTGGTTGGAAATCTTATAAATTCAAAAGTATCCACAGTTTGATGTGGACTTAAAATAGGATGATTTGATCTTCAGTTTTTCAAATGTAATTGTTTTTAAGGATAAAAATTGTTTTTGGTTCGGTTGAATACAAAATAAATAGGAGTGAATGTGTCTTGGGCCCTTAGAACATGAAAGACTCTTTTGCTTCTGACCCAGGCCCTGACATGTAGAGAAGAACTCCTGACACTTCTTCTGTCACTCCTTCCCTTGGTGTGGAAGATACCTGTCCAGGAACAGCAAGCAACAGGTATGTCCCTCTTCACAGATTGCTTGCATTGTCATATCCCTTTGGGAAAAGAAGTTTATTTGCAAAGCTACCTCTTCCTGATTGGTTAATGCAGTTTCAGAGTAGTAGATATTGTGGTGATTTATTATATACCTAGTATGAAAAATTCATTAGGAAAGCACAATTTTTCTTCTTCCAGTAATATAAAAGTCCATGGTGCTTCTGATAGATGTCCATAAATGACAATTACAAATACCCGAAGAAGCAGAATACTTACCTAATGGAGTTGCTAGATATGCCATAGCGTTAGGAAAATGGGTGGTGAAGAGTTTGAAGAAAGGAATTAAAGCCCATTGCTTAAGGACGGCTATCACCAGTACTCTAAAAGTGACTTCTGCAATATTTGCTTTAGTTCAGTTTTTCTAATTTTGCTTTTGAGGGATAAATTGGAAGTCATAGTTTGTTTCTAGGCTAAGTAGAATTATGACATGAGATCAATACATTTTAATTTCTTATTTTGAAAAATATGCATTTATAAGTACGTTAAATTTCAGTGGAAGGATAAACTGGTTTTCCCCTGGATCATTTCTGGAATACTTTATGAATCTCCTGGGTTAAAAATAGTCTTCCGTATTATATTTTAATGCTGTGTTTATATTTTAATACATATTTGACATAGAACTCTTTTAAGGAAAATATTTAAAGACTTCTAATATTATTTTCCTGATTATTTATTGATTCATTAACTACTCTTTTTTTGAGTTTGCAGAATTAGAAGTTTGTTAACCACTTAAGAGTTGATTACTGCCATTTTAGGGAAGTTGCCTTCATTGATGGCATTTTATATTTCTGCGCAATTGGTCTCTTTTAACATTTGTTCTCATTTGCTTTATTTTCCTTCTCCTAGGTAAAGTGCAAAATTCTACTAATGGGTTTTTATTTAGTCCTCCTAAATTACAATTCTGTTTTCTGTGCATTTTAGCACATATTGCTACAAAGAGAAAGATTCATTTAATTAGATCCTTTCCCTAAGAAATGGCCATTGAATGGCCCCAAGCTCTGGGGACTTAGGATGGACTGCTGATCTCTCTACATTTGGCTAGTTCAGAGAACAAGGCCCTAGAGAAATACTTTGCTTGAACAACCATAGTCATGATGAATACTTGATATATACTATATGATTTTTGAGTTCATTTGGGTGAATATTGAAGTTCTGAGAAGCCACAGACTAACACTATGTCTTAATTACAGCATCACTAAAGGTTTGTAAGTGGTGAGCACAGCAGCTGGATAGTTCAAGCTCATATTTAGAAATTAGAATGCAGTAGGTTCAACTCATGTCCAATTTCCTAATTTTTCTCTTTGCCGTCCTCAAAATCAAGTTGTATCTCTTGAGCTATTACCACCTGGTATAGAGAGTAGGAAGGATAAGTGTGGGCGGAAGTGACCCAGAGATGTAACTAGGGAAAGCAGACTTGCAGGAAAATTATACCAGGCCAGACTCATAATGTGGGTTGTAAGAGTCATTGCCCATACATGTTGAGCTTAACGGGTACTGGCATATTCCTTTTTTTCATACACTTTTATTCCCCAATACAAAAGGGGGGAAAGAAGGCAAAAGACTGCTTTAACATGACACAAAAGACAATCAGAACAGTTACTTCAATACTTGAGACATCAAGCCATTATTTCCTGAGTAAAACATTTGATGTCTTGGGCAGGATATACAGTGAACATTCCCTAGACCAAGTATCCTGTAGGCAGTCACTCCCTATGCCAAACTTCTTATTTTAAATGAACAAGCAGGAGTATGCTTAAATTCTCTGATCTTTGGTCAGGGTGGAGTGAATCACTTCTATGGGCCATCTTAATGTCCAAAACAAAAGTAACTACTCCCTTGGTAGTAGTCACACCTGTTGGGTACTGACATATTCTAAGTGTATTTCTTGATTTTATTAGATTTTAACTTGCCGTTGTCATCTGATATAATCCTGACCAAAGAAAAGAACTCAAGTTTGCAAAAATCAACTCAGGGAAAATTATATTTAGAAGGAAGTGCTCCTCCTGGTTCAATCTCTGCAAAAGTAAACCTTTTTCAAAAAAGCAGACGACAGCGTAAAAGTACCCACCGCTACTCTGTAAGAGATGCAAGAAAGACACAGCTCTCCACCTCTGACTCTGAAGGCAACTCAGATGAGAAAAGTACAGTTATGAGTAAGCACAGGAGGTCCCATGTGCTACCCCGGATCCTGACGCAGTCTCCTAAGGAAGACCACCTCCTCGCCAAACTTGTCCCCTCTGCAACCAAAGAACAGATCCTTTCTGACACCATGACTTTGGAAAACTCCAGAGAAATCATCCCGAGACAGGATTCAAATGGCGACATATTAAGTGAGCCAGCTGCCTTGTCTATTCTCAGTAACATGAATAACTCTCCCTTTGACTTATGTCATGTTCTGTTATCGCTATTGGAGAAAGTCTGTAAGTTTGACATTGCTTTGAATCATAATTCTTCTCTAGCAGCCAGTGTAGTACCCACGCTGACTGAGTTTCTAGCAGGCTTTGGGGACTGCTGTAACCAGAGTGACACTTTGGAGAGACAAGTGGTTTCTACAGGTTGGACTGAAGAACCAGTGGCTTTGGTTCAACGGATGCTCTTTCGAACTGTGGTGCATCTTATGTCAGTAGATGTTAGCACAGCAGAGGCAATGCCAGAAAGTCTTAGAAAAAAACTTGACTGAATTGCTTAGGGCAGCTTTAAAAATTAGAGCTTGCTTGGAAAAGCAGCCTGACCCTTTCTCACCAAGACAAAAGAAAACACTACAGGAGGTCCAGGAGGGCTTTATATTTTCCAAGTATCGTCATAGAGGCCTTCTTCTCCCCGAGCTTCTGGAAGGAGTTCTACAGCTCCTTATCTCTTGTCTTCAGAGTGCAGCTTCAAATCCCTTTTACTTCAGTCAAGCCATGGATTTAGTTCAAGAATTTATTCAGCACCAAGGATTTAATCTGTTTGAAACAGCAGTTCTTCAGATGGAATGGCTGCTTTCAAGGGACGGTGTTCCCTCAGGGGCTGCCGAACATTTGAAAACCTTGATCAACAGTGTAATGAAAATAATAAGTACTGTCAAAAAGGTAAAATCAGAGCAACTTCATCATTCCATGTGCACGAGGAAACGGCACCGGCGCTGTGAGTATTCCCATTTCATGCAGCACCACCGTGATCTCTCAGGTCTCCTCGTTTCAGCTTTTAAAAACCAGCTTTCTAAAAGCCCCTTCGAAGAGACTGCAGAGGGAGATGTGCAGTATCCCGAGCGGTGCTGCTGCATTGCAGTGTGCGCTCACCAGTGCTTACGCTTGCTGCAGCAGGTTTCCCTGAGCACCACCTGTGTCCAGATCCTATCAGGTGTACACAGTGTCGGAATCTGTTGTTGTATGGATCCTAAGTCTGTGATTATCCCTTTACTCCATGCTTTTAAGTTGCCAGCACTGAAGAATTTTCAGCAACACATACTGAATGTCCTTAACAAACTTCTTCTGGATCAGTTAGGAGGAGCAGAGATTTCACAGAAAATTAAAAAAGCAGCTTGTAACATCTGTACTGTGGATTCTGACCAACTGGCTAAGTTAGAAGAGACACTGCAAGGCACCTTGTGTGGTGCTGGCCCTTCCTCTGGCTTGCCCAGTCCTTCGTACAGATTTCAAGGGATCCTGCCCAGCAGTGGGTCTGAAGACTTCTTGTGGAAATGGGATGCATTGGAAGCTTATCAGAACTTTGTCTTTCAAGAAGACAGATTGCAAATCACATTTGCAATTTGATCCAGAAAGGCAATGTTCAGTGGAAATTGTATAATTATATTTTTAATCCTGTGCTCCAAAGAGGAGTTGAATTAGTACACCATTACCAACAACTAAGCATTACTTCTGTTCAGACTCATATGTGTAGCCAACTGAAACAGTGTTTGTCTCAGGAAGTGCTTCAGATCTATCTAAAAACTCTGCCTATTCTACTTAAATCCAGGTTTGTGCATTTTTACAGTTGGATGAATGCTTTGAATATGAGATAAAGTCTGTGTGTGTTTAAATTTCTAACCTTGATGTCTCCAGGACCTCAACCACAGTATAATCATAGTTACTATTTTGCTTTCAAGGATTTAGTTTGTCCACAAAGAAAGTACTCTTCCCATGTCATGTTTTAAACATTTTAAAATTTACTTTTCTGGGGATAGTTAAGGAAGAGAGACTAGAGATGTTGATATTTGGCTTCTCAATGGAAAAAAAAGGTAAAAGTTTTTAATATATTTCTGAGGAAAGAAGTGTGTGGAATGAAGATGTCAGAACAAAGTCAGTTAAGATTAATTTTTTTGTTTTACTATGTAGATAGAATATTATAAACCATTAAGATGTTTATAAAGATCATGTTAGAACAAGACAATGCTTATTTTATGAGTAAAATATAAAATAATAATTTTAATGTATTTACAACAGTGTATAATTTATACATACGTGAAATATTTAGTTCTCGAGTCAGTAGCATTGAGGAGATCATTTCTTAAATATCATAGTTGCGTTTATTACTCAAAGTTGAAAACACAGATAGGTAAAAAGAAAGTTTAAGTTGTCTTCTATCAGTGAAACTTTCAAATTCATGAGATTGTTAAGTATGGGATACTTTACAATGACTGTGTAAGTAAAGCTTAATGGACAGATTGGCCATTTAAATTAATGCATATGTAATATGGCTACCTTAAAACTGGGCGGTGGTGTACGCCTTTAATCCCAGCACTCGGGAGGCAGAGGCAGGCAGATCTTTGTGAGTTCGAGGACAACCTGGTCTACAAGAACTAGTTCTAGGACAGGCTCCAAAGCTACAGAGAAACCCTGTCTCAAAAAAACAAAACAAAACAAAAAAACCTGACATGGATTCTACCAAGATAAGCTATATTCATCTTTTATATCTGTGCTGTTGACTTTGATCAACTCAACAAATTAGAAGAGAACTATAAGGAAACTCACATGGTACTAAACCTTCAAGTTGAGAGAATATCTTCCCAAGATTTTCAGCTCTGTAGTTTGGTTCTTTCCTTTCCTAGAGTGTAGTATAAAACAGATGGAAAGTCTGAGCAGAGTGTTAGACAGACAACCAAGTGAGCAAGTGAACAAATGTATGCCTGCTCTCCTGTACCCACAATCAGGGGTGGTATGATATTTAGAATTTCTATGAAATTTACTATTGAAATTGAAGAAAAAAATTCTTTCTTGAGTTACTTATTTTAATGTGTTATATATATATAAACATTTCTTTTTAAATATAGCTAGAGCTATATATAAACATGTAAGTGCATTTAGAAAATAACTTGAGATCTTAATCAGTATCTTAGAACTGTTCAGTGAGTCAGAGTAGGCAGTGGTCAGTATAGAGCACACATAGAGAACTGTTCAGACAGTGAGTCAGAGTAGGCAGTGGTCAGTATAGAGCACACATAGCAGTGTCATGTTTACATAGCATATGTGCCTATTTGCAAATGTTTCACCATGTTATATAAAATATTTTATTTTTCCTATCTCTTACAGGGTAATAAGAGATTTGTTTTTAAGTTGTAATGGAGTAAACCAAATAATTGAATTAAATTACTTAGATGGGATTCAAAGTCATTCCCTCAAAGCATTTGAAACTCTGATTATCAGCCTAGGGGAACAACAGAAAGATGCTTCAGTTCCAGGTGCCAATGGGTTAGACATTGAGCAGGAGTTACCCTCCTTAAGTGTGAGTCCTTCTCTCTGTAAGCAGCAAGCTTCTTCAGATTCTCCTCGGAGTCTCAGTAAGTTTTATGCCAGTCTCAGAGAAGCTTATCCAAAGAAACAGAAGACTGTTCAGCAGGATGTTCACATAAACACCATAAACCTCTTTCTCTGTGTGGCTTTTTTATGTGTCAGTAAAGAAGCAGATTCTGATAGGGACTCTGTCAGTGAGTCGGAAGATACTTCTGGCTATGACAGTACTGCCAGTGAACCATTAAGTCACATGCTACCGTGTCTGTCTCTTGAGAATGTCATCTTACCTTCCCCTGAATGTTTGCACCAAGCAGCAGACATTTGGTCTATGTGCCGTTGGATCTACATGTTGAGTTCAGTCTTCCAGAAACAATTTCACAGACTTGGTGGTTTCCGAGTGTGCCATCAATTAATATTTATGATAATCCAAAAACTATTCACAATTCGTGATGAGAAACAAGGAAAAAGGCACGGAGAAATGAGTGTAAATGAAAACCAAGAGTTAATCAGAATGTCTCAACCTGAAATGACATCGAAGGAAGGAGATGTGTCATCTTCAGCAGCACCAGAACTGGGACATCTGAAAAAGAGTGCTGACAGCTTGAATGACTTAGAGTCAGAGCACATGTTTCCCACAAATGTAGAGCAGACTTTGGTTACTGAAGCTGTTCCTGGGGAAGCAAAGGCATTTATGAATCAAGACAATGAGACCTCTCTCCAGAGCATACGACTTTTGGAGTCCCTCCTGGCCATTTGTCTTCATAGCTCCAGAGCCAGTCAACAGAAGATGGATTTGGAACTACCTCCTCAGGTGATGCTTTATCCTCAGTCCAGCTTATGTAACATATATGTGTAGTGTATTATTATATACATGTCATAACAATATTGACAACTTATTTTGCTACATATTTAAATTTTATTTTCTTGTATTAATTATACATAAATCTGAAACTCATTATAACAGTTTTATGTATACAGTGTATTTATATCAATTTACCCTTCCTGTTCTCTTTTTTCTTCTCCCACTTTCACTCACCCTCTTCCTCTACCCAGCTGGGTTCTCTCTCTCTCTCTCTCTCTCTCTCTCTCTCTCTCTCTCTCTCTCTCTCTGTGTGTGTGTGTCAGTGAGTGTGTGTGTATAAGTAACCCATTACATTTTATTAGGGTTTTTTCTAAGAATCTGGACCCCTGGGATGTCACTGTTGTGGGAGCCCCCAAAGGACTACCACATCTCCCTGAACCCCTACCTGAATCTACATAGCCTGCTTTCATCCAGCAACCTGGCAGGCAAGGAGACCCGGGGCTGGTGAGCATTGTTTAATTTCCATATGTTTGTGGGCTTTCTGGAATTAGCATTGCTGTTGAATTCTAATTTTAAGCCATGGAGATCCAATAAGATGCATGGGGTATGTTAAATTTTTTGTATCTGTTGAGGTTTGCTTTGTTACCTAGTATGTGCTCAATTGTTGAGAAGGTTCCATGAGGTGCTGAGAAGAAGGTATTTTCTTTTCTGTTTGGATGGAATGTTCTATAGATGTCTGTTAAGTCCATTTGAGTTATCATATCTGTTAGAGACATTCGCAGCTCTAAATCTGCTCTAGAAGGTGACCTTTGACTCTTGTCAGTGCTTTGACCCTGCTTATCTCTCAGGGGTGATGTGAACAGCCTTCTGGGATGGATGGCTGGGAACAAGCCTGCTTTGGTCTCAAGGTAGAGTGGCCTCACAGCAAAACCTGCCTTCAGTCAGGACCAGAAGGGGTTAATCTTAACAAGCCTGGCTGGAATCTTCTAGGGTGGTTGCACCACTGTAGAGAATTAGACCCTCAGGAAATACTGGTCTTTGTTGTGCTAGCCAATGGGAGGCTCCCTCAAGGGACTGAAATAGCTGAGAGGTCTAGTCTCATTTTGGGTCTTTCCTAGTTAGGTTTCCACTGCTGTGATAAACGCCATGACTAATACCAACTCGTGGAGGCTGGGGTTTGTTTTCTACTTCACTTCATCATCCATGAATGAGGAAAGGGGAGGTTCAAACCTAGAGGCAGGAATTGAAGCAGAGAACATGGATGAAGGCTGTTTACTGGCTTTGTCTCTCTGCCTTTCTACCTTCCTTGTACAACAGAACCACCTGAATCACATTATCCACCACAATGAGCCTAGGCTCCCCTGCATGAATTAACAATTAAGAACACACCCTGAGCCGGGCGGTCGTGGCGCACATCTTTAATCCCAGCACTCGGGAGGCAGAGGCAGGTGGATCTCTGTGAGTTCGAGGCCAGCCTGGTCTACAAGAGCCAGTTCCGGGACAGGAACCAAAAGCTACGGAGAAACCCTGTCTCGAAAAATCAAAAAAAAAAAAAAAAGAACACACCCTGTAGTCCTGTCTGCAAGCCAATCTGGTGAAGGCAACTCTTTGAGGTTCTGTCTTCCCAGGTGTGTCTACTTAATAACTGAGGCTATTACTGCAAGGTTTTATTCATTTTTGAGAGAAGGTTTCTTGTAGCCCAAACTGGCCTCAAATTCAATATTTAACTGAGGATGACTTTGAACTTCTGATCTTCCTGTCTCTGCCTTTCAAGTGTTGGAGTTACAGGCATGTGCCACCAAGCCAGGCTTAGAAATTTTTGTTTATCTTCCCAGATACATTATTATTACACTATTTTCTTGTGTCGCCATCCCAGTCTTAGTAGGGCCCATATAATGGTCAAAGGGCCCCACGAGTAAGCCTTATCTTTAAGGGGTTTTGAGTGCGTTGGATTCTCCATGCTGGGGTCGCAGCGGGCTCCGCTTTCTCAGCTGTATGGGTGGCCTTAACGTGTGAGGCGTGGATCCAGGCTGCGATGCCATCAACCTTCAGTGCTGTTGGGGTGGTCAGAAGGACAGTGTAAGGGCCTTTCCACCAAGGTTCCAAGTTTTTGGTCTGGTGTCTGCGGACCCAAACAGTATCTCCTATCTGGAAGGGATGTGGTACCACCGGCTTGTTCAGTTGGTCTTGGTAAGCAGCGGCGAGTGGCGTCCAAACCTCTCTTTGCACAATCTGTAACTCCTGTAAATGGGCTTCCAGAGAAGGACTGTCAGCAAAATCGGCAATGTTTGAATCAAAGAAATTTATAAATGGGGGAGGAGCTCCATATAGGTTTTCAAAAGGTGTCAGTCCATGAGGCCCCGGAGTGTTGCGGGCCCTGTACAGGGCCAGTGGTAAGAGGACCACCCAGTCTCTAGTGCCAGTTGCAAGCGTTAATTTGGATAAGGTCTCCTTAATTGTTCTATTCATGCGTTCTACCTGCCCTGAACTTTGGGGAAATTACGCACAATGTAATTTCCATTCGACCCCTAGGAGTTTGGCCACCAACTGACTTACCTGGGAGACAAAGGCGGGCCCATTATCGGTGCCTAAGACTTGAGGCATTCCATACCTGGGAAAGATTTCTTCCAAGAGCTTTTTGGTCACCACCTTTGCGGTTTCGTGTTTGGTGGGAAAGGCTTCCAGCCATCCTGAAAAAGTGTCTATGAACACCAAGAGGTATCTGTACCCATAGAGACCTGGCTTGACCTCCGTAAAGTCGATCTCCCAATGTACTCCGGGATGATGTCCCTGTGCCTGAACTCCTGGACCAAGCTTGGTTCTGCCTGCGTTTACCTGGGCGCAGGCTTGGCATTCATCAGTCACTTTTTGCAGGGCTCCATCGCTGTTCAGGAGGTGTTGGCCTGACTCCTGTCTGTCCAACAAGGTTTTCATCTTCTTTGGCCCCAAATGGGTCAATTTATGTAAGTAGTCTATTATTTCATAAGTATGTTTTGTTGGCATAACAATCTTTTCCTTAAAAACCCAATGTTGCTTTTTGGGGTCATATGTGGCCCCCATTTTCTTTAGGAGATCAATGTCCTCTTTACTCTAGGGTAGCGAACTGGAGGCTGGGGCCTCTTCTGGGTTCGTCAAGGGGAAAGCTTGGAAGGTCTTGGTTGATTTCATAGCAATCTCTCGAGCAATGTCATCTGCCAGTCTATTTTCCTTTGCCTCAGGGCTATGGCCTTTTTGATGCCCAGGGCAGTGCATAATACTTAATTTTGGGGGCAAAAATAAGGCCTTTAGGAGTGCCAGTATCTCAAGTTTGTTTTTAATTTCCTTTCCTTCTGAGGTCAGCAGCCCTTGTCTTCGATAAATTTCTCCATGTATGTGAGCCGTGGCGAAGGCATATTGGCTATCAGTATAAACATTTAGCCTCTTACCTTCTGCCATCCGGAGTGCCTGGGTCAGAGCGATGAGTTCAGCCCTCTGGGCGGAGGTGCCTGCAGGGAGGGCTTCTGCCCAAATTACCTCAGTCTCCGTTGTCACTGCCGCCCCCGCTCTTTGTTCCCCATTTGCCAGGAACCTGCTGCCATCCGTATAGCAAGTATAGTCAGCATCTCGGAGGGGTTGATCCGTCAGGTCCAGCCTGGTCCCGTGTATTTCCACAAGGATCTGGAGGCAGTGTGTTCTGCTTCCTCTGGCAGGGGGAGCAAGGTCGTGGGATTAAGAGCGACCACAGGTCCGAAGTGCACCCGGTCCGTATGGCTTGGTAATGGGTCATGCGGGCATTAGAGAGCCAGCGGTCTGGAGGCTGTTTGACCAGGGCCTCCACCGCATGGGGCGCCAGGATAGTCAATGGCTGGCCCAGAGTCAGTTTACCCGCGTCCTTGGTGAGGACTGCAATAGCTGCTACCATTCGCAGACAGGGCGGCCACCCTGAAGCTACTGGGTCGAGTTTCTTTGAGAGGTAAGCTACAGGACGCCTCCAAGGGCCCAGTTTTTGAGTTAGGACCCCTTTAGTGTAACCCTGTTTTTCATCCACGAACAAATCGAAAGACTTGGTAATGTCAGGGAGGCCTAGAGCAGGGGAGGCTAACAAGGCTTTCTTAATGTTTTCGAAAACCCTCTGTTGTTCCTCTCCCCAATCAAACATTGTTCCTTGTTTAGTTAATGGATACAAGGGTGCAGCCATCTCTGCAAACCCTGGGATCCAGAGGCGGCAGTATCCCGCTGTTCCCAGGAACTCTCTGAGCTGGCGGGGGTTCGGGGGGGGGGGGCAGGAATGTTAGTGATAGTCTGTTTGCGCGCCTCGGTCAGCCATCTCTGTCCATCTTTTAATTGATAACCTAGGTAAATGACTTGCTTCTGGCATATCTGAGCCTTCCTGGCTGATGCCCGATATCCTGCTTGTCCCAATGTCTGTAGGAGGGCCTTTGTACCCTCCTGACAGTCTTTCTCCGAAGCGGCCACCAGAAGGAGGTCATCTACGTATTGGAGCAATGTCAGGGCAGGGTACTGAACCCGAAAGTCTGCCAGGTCCTGGTGTAAGGCCTCATCAAAGAGGGTCGGGCTGTTCTTGAACCCGTGGGGGAGCCGTGTCCAGGTCAATTGACCCGAAAGTCCAAGATCTGGGTCCTTCCATTCTAAGGCAAAAAGGGACTGGCTCTCCGGATGCAGCCGCAAGCAGAAGAAGGCATCCTTTAAGTCTAACACGGTATACCAAATGTGGGATGGTGGCAGAGTGCTCAATAAGTTGTAGGGGTTGGGGACCGTGGGGTGTATGACCTCCTTCAAATCCTGCACTGGCCGGTAGTCCCCAGTCCCCTGTTTCTTTACCGGTAAAAGGGGGGTATTCCATGGTGACCGGTAGGGAGTGAGAATGCCCTGATCCAACAGTCTTTTTATGTGGGGCCTTATGCCTTGATATGCTTCATGGGACATGAGGTACTGCTTGATTGAAACAGGAGTAGCTGTTGTCTTCAATTGAATGATAAGTGGAGGTTGTTGTAAAGCCATCCCTATTCCCCCGGTCTCTGCCCATGCCAATGGAAATTCATTGAGCCAAGGGG